GTGAATCCATGTTTTATAAACAGTGATAAAGCGCCCCAAAAAATCGGTTGGATTGCGTTTAAACATGTCGAAACACTCCTTAGAAACGTACATTTGAATGCGTTTTTAATCGACTGTTAGCAAACGCAGCACGCGCTGAAAGCTTTTTCATATGCAAATGCTTAATGTCGTGAACGCGATCATTTGAAATGTTTGCAATGTTAGCAAGCTCACGCACTTTTGCTCGTCGATCATTCAACACGGCATTATGGATTTTTTCTATGATTTCGTCAGTCGGAGCGGTTTTTGGGCGATCTGAACGTTCATCATTATTTATGGACGTACGACCACGTTTAAATTCAGCAGCTCATTTCTTAACAGTTGAAAATGATGGTGAAGATTCTCCCAAAGTTGAATCTCGTTTGTTATTTCGGTTGGCGTTAAACCTTTTAGAAGTATTTTATCACTGCGCGATATTCGACTTTATCTATTTTTAAGAAAAGTTGATTGCTTTACACGATCAAAATAAAGAAACTAATGAACGCATTTGTCTGAAATGTTGGCAGTAGCCCTCTGCAGGAGGGCTTTTGCAAAACTTGCAAAAAATTACAACGGTTTGATACTTTTAACGTAATCTCTGTGTCAGGCCGAGAACTTTTCGAACTACTCTCGTATACATAATCGAGAATTGCATATATGTGCCAAGCAGAATATTCCGCCTACGAGCTTGGTCTGTTGTCTGGCAGCTATAGGCTTTCCGGCCTAGTTCCGATATTTTTTTTATAGTCAGCAAAACGTGTAGCCTGGAGTTATCCTGAACAAAATATCTTTCCTATTAGGTGATTTTAGTTTCTGGTGGATCATTTGTTTCAATTTATCGAAAATACTAAACACACAGTATTTATCCTTGCATTTTTAACTACACAGAAAGCTGCCAGCTGTCAAACGGTATAGTGTGTTATCTTATCGAATAATGTCTACATAGAGTGCAATTTGCTAATAAAGCAGTCCGTTATGAAAATCTGAAAAAACTTTTGGATCACAATTTAATACATGCAAAATGTCTGCTGCTGTTTGTTCTGTTCAAGTGTCACTTTTGAAATATTAGAACGGAATGGAATATACATTCTATTAAATAATATTTAAATAATAGAAGAGTCATATATTCCTTTTATATTTTTAAATAAATGAAAAAAAGCAGAAGAATAATGAAGATAATTTTGTCTAGACAATGTATTTAAAAAATTGAAAGGTATTTTCTATGAACCATGCATCATTCTATGAACCATGTATGGAACTGTGACTTCAAATATGTTGTCTCGAAAGTTAAACAATGATATCTTTATAGATACAGTATCATTTATATATAAATGAATGAATAAATGTAAATGAGTAAATGTGTATTTGAAAATCATTATATATAAGGTGAATTTGAAATCCTGTCAAACAATTTGCAGCCACATTTTACACCTTAAAACATACAAAAAAATTTTACTATTATATTAGTAATCATAGTTCGGGCAGATTCATTTTTTATCATTTATGAGCAAAGCGAGCTATTGTGAATGATGCGTGGCTCAATGGTGTAGATCACCAAGGCTCAGCAAGCCTAAAAACATCTTAAATCTATCTTAAAAGATATTCGAAACGATTTAGAAAATACCTTTCTTAGTTAGTTTTCAAAGCTAATAGCTAATTTTCCCAAATCTATAGCTAATAATATTATAACAAATGGAAATAAGATTTGGAAATACAGCAGCGCACGAAAATTATGAATTATTTGTATTAATAAAAATACAAAAAAAAACGGGCTCTCTTAAGAACTCAAATTCTCAAATTCTCTCAAATTCAAGAACAAAATGAAAAGATTCGTTCTGACATATCGTGCACATCGACATTTTTCTTTTTTCGAGAAAAATTAAAGAAGAAACATTTAAACCAAATTTAATAAACATATATATATATATATACATGTTTATAGAAA